AACATATCTTAACAGTAATTTACGTTTTTTGTTACAAAATGTAGAGAAAAGGAAAAGAAAATAAGAATTAGACTAATATATATATATATATACTAGGGGTGTGTATCTCATCATAGTAGTCGATACGATACATATCTAGATACAAAAGTTTTACCAACGGTTTGTTACCAAGTTTGACAGTCTTGCCTATAATTTATTATCTATATTACTAACATTGTCTTACTTATGTACTTCACACTTTACAGTGTTTTTCAAATTCTCAGGTTTGATCAACTAAGTAGCAGCTGGCAAGAGGAGTAAAATAAAAAAGTTAATATCTGTCTCTCTATTTTTTTATTGTTAATTTGTTATGTTACTTTGCATGTGATGTTTTTGATAAAAGAAATGAAGACAACATGTAGTACTCAATACTCATTTTCCTTTATTGAATCATTAATTTTTAGCAAAAATACTTTATTAGAAGTTATAATTTTTTCTGTACTTATAATATTTACAGAAAACCTCCCCAAAGTTCGTGAAGGTATATAAATCACATCGTATCACCACACCTTTAATATGTACATATGTATATTATTATATGTCACCACCTGTTGCCCATTATAGGTGTCAGTTTACACAATCGTTCTTTTTTTATTGCACGTGTGTAGAAACAGAATTACTTTGTTGATTGTTATGGAAAAGCAGCATTTTCTAGCTGTTGTTAACGGAATGTAGGTTTACAGATCCGTGAATTTGTAGGTTCCAGCGAAACCTATATTTTACCTACTTTCACGTAACCGAGTATTTGTTGTTTTTGTATTTTTATTTTTCGGAATTTTGTTAGCGTTTTAGACTTTTAAAATTCTATTTTATTAGAGTTATATAACATTTTCATCATTAATTGGCTATGAAGAAGTTAAACTAAATCGTAATAAGAAAAGTTTCTGCTTGATTTTCAGAGCTACCTACAGTAGTGACATCTACGTATGATATAATACACATAAGAAACTTGTTGTACCCAGCATATACTCAAAGATATAAATGTATGCTACTCATGGACTATACAATATACATGACCGTAAAAAAGGTTGTGGATATTTTCATTTAATCGGAATACTCATAATACATTTAATTATTGTATGACAAGAATAAAATTATTGGTATTTCTCTTTAAAAAATATTTTTGAAAAACAAAGTCCCTTTAAAAGAAAAAAAGATGAGACCATTTCAAACGTGACGTTTCTCTCAGACGATCTGCTTCTAGCTTTTTTCCACTCAAGGATCTATTATGGACGATGTGGATGCATTTCTAACAACTCAAGCAGAATTCGTTAGCTTGTTCTATTGATATATATATATATATACTTAATCATCATAATAGAAGACCATACCTACAGCTCCGACAAAGGATGACGGTGTGTAATCAAACGGCACGTGTCTCTCAAAAGCTGAGCTCGTTAAGTGCACACAGAGATAGAAGCAAGAAAGAATGTATTTTTTCTTTTTATATATGACTACTCTTTGTATAACAATCACTTAGACCTGTATTTTTGATATTGTAGATCACAGAGGAGAGGACAGGCTGTAGTCCCCAGGAGAGCGACGAAGAGCCACGGGAAGAAGGAGCTATCTCATAAGAAGTTTGGTAAGAGGTTTTGGACTTATTCACTCTTCTTTCGTTGTTTCTACTGATATGCATCTGTGCATTTTTTTCCAGCTGCGGTTCAACCTAGTATTTTCAAAAAAAGGAAAAAAACGCTGATGAGTTTAAAAATTTCCTAAAACGTCATATTTTTACCAATCTATCAATAAACTCATGTTTCTTATATATATGTTAGAGCTATTTAAATGTACTAGTCCTATTTATATAATTCTTAATAAAATAATACTGGAGGAAATTTTTGCAAGGTTTTACACGTTTAAAATATACTGTGTCGTAAAACAAGTGTCAAAATATGCTATTAGAAAAGAACACACAAAAGTACTAAAGTCGCTCTTAGGAGTTATGACGTAAATTCCTGTTTTGGGTACATAGTAAAAATAAACTCGTAAAGTAAATGAAGCAGGGCTTTTAATTTTGACCAGATTTAATCAACCGTTTTTAGTACAAATTTAAAACAATTTTGTTACTCATATCTATTTCTGTAGGAGGCGAATTTTTATTCAGATATTGACCATATTCTCTTTCATTACTTTCTTTACACAAATAACTTGATAACAAAAGGATAATCAAGTGTTAAAAAACTTCAGTTGATTGAACAAAGCCTTATATTTTTACTAGGGTTCCATCTAAACAGTTTATAATTTCGATTATAAATCAAGAAATTTCTCTTTTTTTTACCACACACTTTATTGGATTTTATTGAGAAAAAAACAAACATTCGGCTGTAAATAGTATCTGAAAACAATGTTGTTTCTAGGTCATGCGTCAAGGAACAATCCATGTCTGCGTCCAGGAGTGAAGGTCAACGCTATGCTTGTGAAGAAACTGAATGTCAGGAAAATGACAATTGCTGGCTGGAAATAGAAGCCATTAAGTCTGCTATGTTCACGGGTCGTATAAGTAGAATGTCATCAAGCCGATTGACCATCTCTGACAGATCAGAATGATGACCTTAGGTGTACTATAGGACTCGAGTTTGTGAAAATGAAGGACATTGTTATTGAACTTGCTCGTTTACTAACTTAACCTTCTGGAAATAATGTCCCTAAAGATGCTAACTTTAAAAAGAAAAAAAAAACTAATTACGAATTCAAGGTACACGAAACCTTACAATTGAACCCGAAGATCAATGAACACTACCAACTTAATCTCCTAGAAATATTTTTATTACAGACTTATTCCACTGAAAGATATCTCGTATAAGAAGCCAGGTGACGTCACCAACATTGATTTTATTGTAATAGTGATTTTGCAAATCCTAGTTTATCAAACTAGAAACCTTCGTCAAATTAAATGTTTGAGAACTTCGAGATTGTAATATCCACGTGTTATAAATTTAAAAAACGTCACAATGTAAGCTCCTGAATTGACAGAAGGCACTTCAGTTGAGCTTACAGACACGCACGTGCTGTACACTTCACCAATAAGAATTCCTGGTTTGGTAATACCTTTGAAATAAAGAATTTCATAAGCAGCACAAGAAATAAGGAGTACTTTTTGTTCTTTTTAGATTACAAACACATACAAGAACAAGTCTTTTTTTTTATAACATGTCCTCGAAAAGTAGATAACGAACAACTTGAAGCCTGCTTGCCGCAAACAGCTTGTACTGTTCAAGAAATATTTACTTAATTAATACGTCACGTCTACTTTAATAACAGGTTCTCGCCTAACAGTCATGAGTTGGGAGGAAATATGCATCAGAATTGTGCAAAATGTGACACCAACACGCCAGTTGGCACAAAGTAAGGTCAATAAGCCTAGAGTGAAAAATAGATACAGATCCAAGCTAACCGAGCCTCTAGAACGTCATAATCTAATATGGCTAGTTTGAACTACTCTACTCTATGAAATTCCGTTGTTTTAATTAAAGTAGTAGATAAATGATCAATTAGATTAGAATATAGTATGAAATAAGATTAATATGATAAAAGGTTTTATTGATTCCAAGATAATCCAAACTGTTGTTCAACATTAAACGTACTAGGTCTGACAACATGTACAAACACTACGAGGTTTGTTATATTTTACCTATGTTCCTTTATTTTTTCTCATGCACAATACTTTATATGAATGATTAACATATTATTTTACTCAAACGCATATTTACGATAACACTCTCCATTGCAAGCAAGAGGATTATCACACTGAAGAGGTGATTTGACACATTTGCACATCTTGGCACGTTGTACTGTGCAACGGCAGTGGATCTGTGACTTGATGCATCTGACAGCATTGTTCGCAGAGGTACAAGTCTGATGTCTGTTTTCCTCCGTCCCCAGCTGGTGCATGACTTCAGGTCAATCCTGATATAAAGCAACCCCCTTTGTCCTGAAGTACCTGGTACGTTTGTCCGAAATCTCTTCACTTGTCTCTCCATTTTGGATTTATCTTCCTTGTTTTTACCTGCCTTATGACACTATTTACACAGTTCTACCCTGATATTGCTAGGAAGTACACCAATCTCTTCAATATTTTTGAAGTATTGTAGCCTTCTTTTGACAGGTATTTTGCTCTTGGAAGGGCGTATAAGAGTTTCTCCTGTGTCTCTTTGACATAGGCAACACCGAAATGAATACTCCAGCCGCCACAGATCGACTATGGCCCGGCATGGCCAGGTGGTTAGGGCGCTCGACTCGCAAACTGAGGGTCTCAGGTTCGAATCTCAGTCACACCAAACATGCTCGCCCTTTGCTTTCCCTCTAGTCTTACACTGCTAAATTAGGGATGGATAGCCCTCGTGTAGCTTTGCGCGAAATTCAAAACCAAACAGATCGACTATACTCATAGTCCTCAAGCACACTGACAAGTTCACACCTCCTTTCTTCTGACATTTCAGGGATCTATTGGAAATTCTACTTTTACTTTAAAGATAATCTCTATAAAGGCATCAAAACTCAGAATTCGTGTACCTCGAACTGGAAATAAATACATAGATGTTAACAGAATAAACCGCTAAATACTTAATTGGAAAGCATTTCTGAGTATACTTTATTGCCAAAACAACAATCTTGGATTATGACGTCACACATCTAAGTGGAGGCCCGCCCAGCTTGAATCTATACCAGATTATAATCTAACTACCGTAATTTTCCAAATATAATACACACTCTAATCTTCACGAAGAAAGAGTCAAATTTGCCTAATCACCATAAATAATACGCACCTAGACTTTTGCAATACTGATTAATTGTGGTATTAATAAGTGGCATATATATATACACATATAGAGTCAGACAGCGAAAGGTGGTAAAGATGGGGGACTTTGTAGGCTTGAGCACCCACATCTGCTTCCCTTTTTTTTTTCTTTTTTAAGTATGTGAGGCCGACAAAATTGAGGTTAAACTGGATAGACAGGGCACCCCCAATGCAATTTGGGCCTTACTTTAGTCGGTACCTCTGGAAACCAGAACACATTACGATTTGTGCTTCAGTGTTGGATGTTTGTTTTCTGGCTACGTTTTTATAAATGTTTGTATGTAAATTAAGTTATAAGACTGTTACAGCTGTGGCTTGGAAATTAGCTTAGATATATACAAGATCAATCATGTAAAAATGTATACAGTAACAGAATTTGCAACATTCAAAAGTTAATCATGTAATTAACAATAAGCACGTGTATTCAGAAGCTACCAAATATTATCATTATACTTAGCATTAAAAGTTATTCAGCCGTGGTAGATTACTATTGTGTTGAATAAGCTGTTCAAGACCATAATAAAACTGATACTAATTAACTTTAAGTGGTTGTATGTCAAAAAGGTCAGAGTGAAACAGAAAAGGCTTACATTACTGTATTTTCAATTAAAAAGTCGAAAACTGTCACTTACACAAGAAAAAATTCCCAGCTAGTAGTGATTAAGACTTAGGAATAGTATGGTAGGATTTACAACAGAGTTCAATCGGGAAACTGGTAAATCGTCGACATTTTCAGAATATTAAGTTGATTTTTTTATATATATAAATAAAGCACAAAATATGTTTTTTTTTAGATTTTTGTTACTGATAAAGTAAACGCTCTACATGATTCTACAATTTAAGATATTTAATAAGATTATGTAAACAGGGTCGAGTACATTATATTGAAATGATTTTGAACATGAAGTAAAGTAACAAACATAGCTGATATAAAATAGCAGTAGAAAGAGATAAATCAAACTACACAGCGTGGTCACAATTAAATAGACACCACCTTTTCAGAAAAAAATTAATTTTTTCACTCATATACACATGAATTGATATATTTATAATTTAATTAATATATAGTAGATATTCCTTTCGCTTCGTGGAGTTCGTTGATCCTTTGGGGCATCGTGAGAATCATCTCGTCAATTTTAGATTGTGGGATTTTCGCCCACTCTTGCTTCAAAACTTGGAGTAGATAGCTCTTCGAAGTTGGTTTTTTTGGTTGTTTCTTGACTTGCCGGTCGAGTATGGACCAGAGGTTTTCAATGGGGTTCATGTCAGGAGATTGCCTCGGCCAGGGCAACTTCTGGATACCATTTTCTTCCTGCCACTTTTGGGTGTTTCTAGCGGTGTGACACGGTGTTCCATCTTCCTGGAACACCGTTGTGTTTTTGTCCACGAAACCCGAGGAATAAAATGGCAAGAGTCCTTCCTCCAATATTTCGACGTATTTCACAAAATTTATGTTGCCAAGGCACTCCGCTAAGCTCGATTTCCCACCAACCCAAACAGCTCCCCAAACCACCACGCTGAAACCACCATGCTTCACAGTTGGCTGCAATCTGTTGAGCCAAAACTCTTGGTGAGGCATTCTCCAGACCCATGTCCTTCCACAGTCCGAAAATTGAGCGAATCTTGATTCGTCTGAGAACAATACGGTCTTCCAAAAGTCCAGAGGCTTGGTCATCATATCACTTGCCCACTTCTTTCGTCGGACTATGTTGGCAGGTCTTGATATGGGCTTCCGTCTAGCTGCTCTGCAACGATAACCCAATCTGTGGAGAATTCGTTCAACAGATTTCGGGCTCATCCAACCAACTTTGGCCACTTCTGCAGTCGTTAATCTGGGATCCATTTCGACAGCCCTTTTTGTCCTCTGGAAACAACTGAGCAGCGTCCGGGTCGTCCTGGTCCATCGGTTGCCGTGTTTCCTGAACTGCACGATGATTCTGTTGACTGTCGAAAGCGGGATTCCCAAATTCTGCGAAATTTGCCGCTGAGTTATTCCACCATCTGCTTGACCAGCTATCCTTCCTCTAACAAAATCTGACAATTCGAGAGAACCTTGAATTCTAGGCATGTCCTAGCACAAGATAATTTGTGTGTGGACCATTTTCATTTATATAGTGCTCTGTGAACACAAATTAGTTAGCATAAATCAGTTAAATGACGAAAAATTATGTGTATATTTACTTGTGACCACTCAGTACATATACATGCAACGATTGTGTTGTATTCGTAAATTCACTTGTCGTTGTTGTTTTTTCTTTGTCTTTCGCAATACTTATTTCAGTGCACTACACTGCATCACCGTTTCATCAAGGGCTTTATGTGGTCTAACTTAACCTTCTCTGCTATTTTCCCTGCTAGCCAAATCCTTCGAACCTGTGGTAATGTGACTGTAGCTAATTAGTGTGTCCTCTCGCTAACCAGTAATACCATATAAAAATTAATGTACTGTCAAGGGAAATAATTTGATAAAACAAGTACTCGGTTAAACATTTCCCGAGTTTTAAGTCAGAAGCTTAAGTAACCTATTTGATAAACATTTTAATAGCGTGCTATCTTATCCATTGCGTGAATTGATAATTCAGAGCTCTTTTCATTCAATCAACATGTATCTCCCTCGTCTACGAATAGCTGTTTACTAAGATTTTGTGGATCGGTTTCAACCGGTTTAATGTCGAATTGTAGTTTACTGAAGTTACACTTCCTGTGTAAAGAGGGTGTCGTATATGGTATGCAATAATGCACTAATATGAGAATTTTGGGTTATACGTAATACCTCTTTGAATCATAAGACTCAAACATATCAACACTAAACAGTATTCCGGATCTACATACACAAAACAACTAAAGGCAGTTAATAGTTGTTCAGGATTTTAAAGCTTTCCCCTATCCCATATCTGTGCCAAAAGTTTGTACAATTTCCTAGAAAGGTGTAACGTTGGGTGTTCCTTACTATGGTTCTAAGTTTCACACATTAATACATACATTTTAAATACAAGTAGAAAAACTGGAGTTAAACAAACATCACAGTAAATGTCTTGCTGATTTAAATAAGAAGCATAACTCTAACGTTTACATTGTATTTCAACTAGACGAACTGGGAGGTATACGGAATAGTTAACGGATTTAGTATTTTGTTCTTGTGATACTTTCACTATTATTTTGACAATATTCATAACCCGATAAATTATAATCGCATTACACAAAAAATTAGCATTAATAGATAAACAATCCCTACAATGTAAGATGAGATTCCGTCAACTGGTTTTCGGTTTATTA